CTCCTCCATATCTCAAAGTCTACCCCTGTGCTCCTCCATATCTCAAAGTCACCCCTGTGCTCCTCCATATCTCAACGTGTACCCCTGTGCTCCTCCATATCTCAACGTGTACCCCTGTGCTCCTCCATATCTCAAAGTGTACACCTGTGCTCCTCCATATCTCAAAGTGTACACCTGTGCTCCTCCATATCTCAAAGTGTACACCTGTGCTCCTCCATATCTGAAAGTGTACACCTGTGCTCCTCCATATCTGAAAGCATACACCTGTGCTCCTCCATATCTTAAAGCCTACCCCTGTGCATGTCCAAGTGTACCCCCTGTGCCTCCAGCATGTCTCTATGTGGCTGTGTATATCTCCATGTGTATCCCTGTGCCACTAGTGCAACTCCATGCATGCACCACCATACCTCCAAGTGTCCTTCTGTAGGTGTCCACACTTTGATTGAGCCGTGATCCTCCACATTCTAGCCACTTGCAGTTGTATAGCGTTCCCCTGCGTATCTTTAAGGATACACTAGGTCAGGGGTCAAAATTTCCACTCGCCCCCTCGCAAATTGCAAGTGAAAATTGCGTGGGGGCGAGTGAAAATGAAGCCATTGAGTCAGGCACTCCTCGGGGCGGCTTCTCTCCTCCTCACCGACATGATGACAGCGCTCCCTCGTCCGTCCGTCCGGGGTTGCAGGAGGGAGCGCTGCCTGCTGTCAGGATGGCCGAGCGGGAGAGAAGCCGTGAGGAGAGAAGCCGAGTGTGTTGTGCTATGTGCGCGTTGTGCCCTGTGTGTGTTTGTTTGTGTTATTAAGGGCAACTGGTGGCGAGTAACTTCGAAGGCCTGGCTAGTAGCTCAGGACCTGAAATTTTGAGCCCTGCACTAGGTGGTGTTGTTGTTTCAATGCGGCCACGTGACCGGACTAATACTTGTATATTGAAATGTATCTTTTTTGTGTAGTCAAAACCATTCCCTATACTTTCCAGCTATACAGCTATACACTGTGCAAACATGTTATAATTCAATCCTTTAAAGCTGAACTTCGTGCTAAACAAGTCTTGTCTAAATACAAGTGGCCTGTGTATTTTTACTGGAATCTTGGGCTCCTCTGTTTCTTTAGTTATACGGTAACAAAAACCTGACAGAGGTTCCGTGTCTCCCTGGGCAGATTCACTCGTCAATGTTTTTTATGCTCACAGGTTCACTTTAACCATAAGGACACGTTACCAAATCAGGAAATCAGAAATACATAAATCTAATGGCAATACTGCAGATAGAGCTCACAGAGATGGGAAACAATATTGACAAGGAGCAATAAGAAATGATTTATTTAGTTGCTTTAGATGGCTGCTATATACAAAATGATTTCAAACTACAATGTCCCCAAGAAATAGAACATTCAAATGAAGATTAGAGACAACGTACGTGAAATCCCACTATTATCTTCAGACCAGGTAAGAGAAAGGTCAATGTGAAAAGGATGGCTTTTGCAAGCTTGCCAGTGATTGCCTTTAAAGCAGATGTCAGGATAAAAGTTTACATACATAGGAGAAGCAGCTGATATATGTGAAGCTTATGGACCCCAAATGGAGGAAATGGTCCTAGTCTCAGCTATAGAAAGTACACAATCCGATTCTAGCTATTATATTTCCCACATACTGATAATTGGGCATACAAAAAATGTCAGTATTAAGAAGTCTCTTCCATCCACCAATCAGATTCATCCACCGACTTGCCCTGAAAGTTTTCACTGTGAATTGTTGATGCAGGGAGTAGAAAGGAAGCGTTAACCCCTTCACGACCCATGACGGGATAACCCCGTCATGAAGTGTGAATGGGTTAAACAGACTCCTGGCGGCGAAAAGTTTCTGAAAAGTCTTTTTAGTTTTGTAGAGCCGGCGGCCGGCTTTGCAGTAGAAGAGATACTGGTGGCTAAGCTGCCGCCAGATCGCTTCTACGATCCGGCAACTGCGATCTGCACTTCAATAGCTTATTTAGAGTGTAAAGGTGACACTAGGGGTCTTTTGGATCCTGAGCATCACCTTAAAGAGGACCTGTCACTGGCAATATGCTATCACATGTGGGGCTTGTAAGCTCCCCTATGTGATAGCAATTAAAGTTAAAAAAAAAAGTTTTAAAAAGAATATTAAACAAATGAAATGTAAAAATTATTTTACACATTTTTTTTCCCCCCGCGAAAGTCTCCCGCGAGCATGCGCGTTGTCACGTAAACACGCGTCGGGTGTACATGGGTACACATGGGTGCAAAAAATGAAAAAAAGGCATTTGTCCTTAAGGGGTTAATACAACTCAGACCTGTGGGGTGCTCTGTGGATTTTAACTGCAGTGCGTTACATAGAACTGAATAAAGAAGAATGAAGCCTGCCATTGCTGATTTTCTAGTTTGCTGGTTAGCAGTCTCTGGGCATAACCCAGTACAAGGGTGCAGCTAGTGAAGTCGAAATATCAGAACTCTTCACACAGCTACATACCCATTTCGGATTAGTATTGAGGCATTTGGATTGACAACTCCAAGAAAAATAGCATTTTTCAATCAAAATATTTCAGCAATGAGAGAGACCTACATATTGAGAGAGACCTACATATTTTTTTACTAAAACGTTCCGTTAAAGGAGTGGACTTTTTGATTTTAACACATTAAAGTTTATACACGTATGGTCATAGGTTCTGGAACACAAACGTTTTGCTTTCAGGAATTTAAATCCATGTGCATCAAACGCCAGCACCAAAATTTACGTGCACAAACCCGCGTTCAGCATTTTCTGTCCATACATTCCTATGGACAGAAGAATGCAGTGCTTAAGTTCCCGGGCACCATAAAACACAGGCGTATTTAATGTATGCCAAAAACCCTGCATTTGTGCCTGTGTGCATGAGCCCTTGTTCTCACTAGCAAACAGGAGTTTTCAATGCACTTTTATATGGGAGAAGATTGTATTAAGTGGTCACCTTGATTGGAATACAACTGGTACATGTGTCCTTAAATGCCCTTGCCTCTGAAACTGAACTGTCTGACTACATTGTCTTGATGAAGATACAATGGTGTGCTGGTGACTTATCTTCTTCTTGAAACTGAACTATGACATCTGTTCAGGATTTTAGACTCATTTGGGAGATTTATACCTGAACCTAAATAGCGGTCCCACTTTATAGATTACTGTTTAATATGTATCATGTTATGTAATGTTCTATACTTTGATTAATAATGTATACTTAAAAGGTCTCAGAAGAAGACAAAAGCACTGAGTGTCCTGAATGTTATTGGTAATTACCATAGTATTGTAATAATCAGGGCTTGAAAAATTTGAGGGCGTCAGCCAAAAAGGTCACCAGTCAGCATGACCGGATTATAGCCTTGCAATTTATGTTAACATTTTTTGGGGACAGATAGAGCTTTCTTTTGGTGGTATATAGTCACCACCACCAATAGTATTTTTACTATATAATGAAAAAAAGTACCTAAAATTTCGAAAAAAAATGTTTTCCCTGCGTTGCAAAATAAAATGTATTCTTACCCATATTTTTGGTCAAATATAAAAGATGGGGTCACGTCGGGTAAATAGTCACCAAACATGTCAAACCTTAGAATTCCGCGCGCCTGCAAAATATGGCCACACCGAAAATTGGCCGTAGGCGACGCTTTAAACTGCTTTAACTGCTCATCAGCTTAGTGTTATCATTGATTGATGGCCCTAAAATTATTGCTCATACTCCGACGTTCGCGATGATATGTAACATGTGCGGCACAATCGTCGTTTTCACACGTAGGCACACCCATGTATGTCGGGGGCAGGGAACTTTAAAAAAAATGTAGGTCTTTTCTAAAAATGTATTACTCTTTTTTTTTTTTTACACTTGGCTTTATTGCCATCACATTGGGGGCTAAGATGCTCCCTATGTGATAGCCAATTTACATGACAGGTCCTCTTTATGGAGACATCAGGGGTCTCCAAGACCCCTAAGGTCAGCAAGGGACCGCCAGAGAAGCTGATGAAGCAGAGATCTGCTTCACCAGCTTCTCTAGCTGGGAACGACAGCTGAATGCGGAAGTGATGTAATATACATCACTTCCTGCATTCGGGGACCGGAGAGCAGATCAGAGGGAGATTGTGTACCGATCTTTGATACCTTTGATCTCCTGTCACAGAGCAGCCGTGCCAGTACCCGGCCGCAATGGGCACAGTAACGGCAGCGACAGCTGGGGGGAGGGGGAACAGCAGCTAATACAAGCCATCAATTGCTTCAATGTAAAAGCTCCCGGCTGACCGTTTAATTACCATGGCCGGCCGGGAAGCTACTTGTCCGGGCGGATTTTTCAAGCTGTGGTACTAATGTTTTGTACTATTAAATATTTCAGGGGACATAGTTCTGGTTTGTTGATTATACCTTATTCAATGGTTTAAAGGTTTGCATTTTTGTGATTTTGCGTCTGTTGTAGTCCATTATAAAGGCGTTGGTGTCCTAGAAGTGTATAGCAGTGCCTCCAAAATGATCAGTCATGCATTTATGGAAGTGCATGTCCTTACTGCAAGTATTATATGGAACAGCTCAATTAAGCAGCCAGTAAAGCACGCAGAAGCAGACACCTCCAAATTACAGCCTAAATTGGCACGATGTGTTCAGAGAATGGAGAGCCATTATGATAACAGCATTTCTCTGTGAAAGAGTATTCATGCTCTTGTGAGAGCTGCTAGACACTAGAGCATACTGATTTAAAGTGCAGACTGAAAGAAGTGTACACTTATAAGGGTTAAAGTGGTCATCTATTAAGAGTGCAGGGTCTGAAATGGACACCTGGCCTATGGCGAGGTGGACAGAGACCCTCCTGCAGGAGAAGGGGATGTGTAGCAAGGCAGCAGAGTTTGGTGTTGCAGCAACCAAAGCTACATGTGGCAGTGCTAATGAACATTTAAAGCAAACAAGAAAGAGCCCTCTGAGATGTAAACAGAAGTAACAGAGCAAAGTAGAAAAAAAAACCCAAAAAGCTACTTACTGTTTGATCCTCGGATACCCAGCTTATCCTCTGGTTTCCCATGAGTAACACCACCAAAAGCCCGATCCACTATGAAGGCGGTTATCTTGTCCTTTGTGACGCCATCTTTATCAACAACATCTGTCCTTGCAAAAACTGTAAATATATCCGCCAGTCCTCCATTGGATATCCAGATCTAGGAAGAGAAGTGAGCACATGATACATATTGGGTCTGATATCATGGTTATTAAAATATTTTGCAATGACTCCAGCAGGTTCCACCATGTGACTTTTACAGGCATTCCAGAGAGAAAAGCCCCTTACATGATCCTGGCTGTGATCCATGGCTACCCTGCTCATTTTCAATACAAGTAATGTAATCTTATCCCCAGGGCTTGAAAAAACCGCTCGTCCTCTCGTATGCGACGAGAAGACTTTGGAGCCGGACAAGTAGCTTTACATTTCAAGCTATCAGGCGTCTCTAGAGGCAACCGATCACTTGTATTAGCTGCGGTTTTCCCTGCTTCATCAGCTTCTCTGGGGGTCCCTAGGTGACATCAGGGGTCTTGGGGTCATGTAAATTGGCTATCACGTAGGGAGCTTCTTAGCCCCCTATGTGATAGCAATAAAGTGTAAAAAAAAAAAAAAAATAGAGTATTAAAAAAATGAAAGCATAAAAAAACCCAAAAAAAAACCACAACATTTCTTTTTTAAAGTCCCCGCCCCCTTAAAAACACATGCAAACATGCGTCGCGTGCGCCTACGTGCAAATTTTAGGTGCCATCAATCACTGATAACACTAAACCGATGAGCAGTAAAAGCTTCGCCTGTGGCCAATTTTCGGTGTGGTTGTTTTTTGCAATTTTGCGCGAGCACGCAATTTTAAGGTTCGACATGTTTGGTGTCTATTTACCCGACGTGACCCCGTCTTTTATATTTCACCAAAAATTTGGGTAAGAATAAATGTTTTATTAACATAACGTAGGGAATTTTCATTTTTTTCCCCCCCAAAATGTAGGGTACTTTTTTCATTATATAGTAAAAAAATAACCCCCCCCCCCCTAGTGGTGATTATATACCACCAAAAGAAAGCTCTAGGTGTCCCCAACATTTTTTTAACATAAATTACAACGCTATAGTCCGGTCATGCTGACTAGTAAAATTTTTGACTGACTGCTGAGACACCCTAAAATTTTTCAAGCCCTGCTCATCTTGCTCAGGTTTAACTCTTTACCTAATCTTATCAAAAACCCAGCAGGGGGCCATGCACCAAGCCTTGTTACCAGAGCTCAGAGTAAGAGTGCAGCAGGGACTGGAGCTGGGAGGAAGGAGAGTTCCTCACTGCGATTCCTGACTGTTATAAAAAGCCAACCAGCAAGTTTCAGAATAAAAACCCATTTGAACCCTAAGCTGTTCAGATGAAGTATTCTGGAAACCATTCAATTGGATACCGGAATCTCAAATTTTGCAAGCCAACGTGAAAGTACAATGGGCGATCTTGGGTTCCTAACCAGTTATCATCTGCATAACCCATGTATGTCTTCCCTGAGTTTTTGTAGCACTCAATCCAAAAACTCACGGTAGTAATAGGTTAGAGTTTACCAAAACTGGCACTAGAGCCTCTATGTGTTTGTACAAATATAGCAGAGAGACTGAAAGCTTCACTTACAGAACTGCTGTGAATGGCTCTAGGCACTCTGTAAGGCTCTGTGGAATGTACTGGTGCTATATAATAACGAATAATAAAATTATTATACCTTTGAACCGTTCAGAATATAGTGCTTTCCATCAGCACTCAAAGTGGCTTTAGATTTGATTGAAGCAGCATCACTTCCACTAGAATAGGGAAAAAAAATAAGACTCTTCATAAAAGCATCACTTCACCCCTGCTCACTCTATTACAGTAGGCTTTGGCATTCTGGATCTACAGCTGTAATTCAACTTTGGCTATAAATTGTGCAGCATTAGACGACACAGTGCACGGCTGATGAGCTCTACAAGCCATTTTTCCCTATTCTCAAGTTTCCATATATGTCATTGAGTCAATTACAACCTGAAAATATAACCTATATTCAAACAGAGCATAGCAATTATTTTCCCCACCAATTTACTAAAAAATAAAAGCTACAACATACATCTAACACCAGCACATTCAATAGTAGGGCTGCAACCAACTAATCAATTTATTGATAACGAGAATAGTTGTCAACTATTCTCATTATCGATTAGTTGGTTGGATCCCCTAGCTCTCTCCTCCATGCTTGAAGGAGGGCACAGCAAGCAGAGGGCGGGTCCAATAGTCAACCTGCTATTGGCTATTGCAATTTGAAATGGCCAATAGCAGGCTGACTATTACACCAGCCCACTACCTGGTGTATTTACATTCAGCTGGCCGCTGTCATTCCCTGGCTGAAGCAATTCAAGCGCCACGTGCTTACAATACAAAAAAGTCATTTTTAGTTTCAGCCTGACAAATTCTGCAGCGGGAGGTGCGTTGCAGTGCCATTTATTTCAAAGGCACCCCAAACGCGCCTCCCACTCAGTGTGATCGCCCGTACTGGAATGCACGGTACCGCAATGCCGTGCGTTGGCAAAAAATTGTGCATGCAGTTTTATTCTGAAGTAAACTTTATGTTTCTAACACTGAAGTTGTGTATTTTATTTTTCAAATTAAGGATGGTAATTACATTTTTAATCCGATTAAAAATCAAAAAGAAAAAAAAAAAAAAAAATCGGCCAACTAATCGATTATGAAAATAATCATTAGTTGCAGCCCTATTCAAAAGTTCTAATGAAAGTCAACCCTCTAAACTAGCAAGGATCCCACTATGAAGGCTCCAAACAAAAAATACACAATAAAAAGGGACATTTACAAATTATTATTTTTTTTTTTACAGAAACATGTAGGATAGACACAAATATGTGCCAGTATTTTAAAATCTTTATATATGCACATAAGGGCAGCCATTTTCACATAACACATGCCCTACTTCCTGCTATGCAGCAGTGTGACACAATGCTTGTGCTGAACTGCTCCTTCTCACAATGCAAGTCTATGCGTTATCAGACTCCTTAAAAACAATGTACTTCCTAAGTGGCTGATATCTCACCAGTTGTGAAGAAGTGATTGCTCTGAGGCACCAACAGCATCTTCAAGGTTTTAAAACAATACCCATGTAAGAAAAAACTTGTAAAAATTATAAAGAATTATGTTGAAGCCTAACTTAAAAGGAGAACTATGAGGTGAGTGAAAATCAGTCATTCTCATAGTTCGAGCCGATGTGTGACAATTAAACTGTCACATGTCGGCTCAATAGATCGGGAAGTGAGCGAATGCATACCGTCGCTCGCTCACTTCTCGATCATCTCCCTGCAGAGGCAGCGATTGTCAGTCACGGCTCCCTGTGGGGATTCCCCCCTCCACGCTCCGATCCTCCGGCGCTGACTGGAGGAACGGACGGGGAAGGGGCGGGTACAGCTGGCTCTGCCTCTAGATAGGCAGAGCCAGCTGTCACTCACGCAGCTGGGTGGATCTCGACAGTAATGTTGGGATCCGTCCCGGCTGCAGCGGTCTCAGTATAGCGCAAGCTGTAGCTCGCTATATACTGAGTGTTGGGTCACGGGAGGACGCTAGTATATGTCCTCCTGTGACCCTTAAGAAAACTATGGGGAAAAATACTTACCCTATAGTTTACTTTTAAGCCTTTTATTTTTCTGGACAGAGTGGAGAAGATATCAAATTTCTTTCACCTTTCTATTTCTGTCTGAGACCCCATTGATGAGATTTTTCATCATTTCCTGTACAATGATTAAGATGATTTGCGGTCAAGACAGAACTGCATGGAGAGTAAAACCTCTCTCACACTACTACTACTGGAGAGACATTTTCTATCATTTCCAGTCCTGACAGCAATCAGATCCTGGCTCTAACCCTTCCCCGCTCGATCCTCAGCTGCAATATTTCTATCCTCTCTAGTTCTAATTAAAATAGCAAAATGACGCAGTCTTTTCACCATGCATGTGTCACATAAAGCATGCCAAAGATTACCTTTTTTTTGGAGGTCCCAGTTTGACCACAAACTATAGGGGATACCAAAGATCTCTCCAAAACTTCACGTAAGCAGGCAAAACTTCTGAAAGCCATTTTGGCACAAATAATAACTACATATTTGTCCTGCCAATAGGATCATTTACAGAACTGTATTTCCAGATGTAAATAGCTCTAATTTTAGAAGCTTTTAACATCTGACTCAGATTTTCCTGATTCTTCGATGGAGGGGGTTCAGGTTTAGGTGTCATGTGCAATTTTTTTGTAGAATTTGCAATCCAGATAGCAATGAAATTAGTTCTTTTTTTTTCTATGTGCCAGGAAATAACCACAAAGGACAGTAGGAAAAGTTACGTTAGCCGGGGTTCTGTTCAGTACCAAATCAGTATCAGAATTTTGCAGAAGTCTCATACCCCACATGTCACTGGCTCACTGTTTTCCCAGAAGCCTGCACAGGACTTGGGACTGACAATACCCCGCATGTCACTGGCTCACTGTTTTCCCAGAAGCCTGCACAGGACTTGAGACTGACAATATCCCGCATGTCACTGGCTCACTGTTTTCCCAGAAGCCTGCACAGGACTTGGGACTGACAATACCCCGCATGTCACTGGCTCACTGTTTTCCCAGAAGCCTGCACAGGACTTGGGACTGACAATACCCCGCATGTCACTGGCTCACTGTTTCCCCAGAAGCCTGCACAGGACTTGGGACTGACAATGTCTTAATAGCAGGCGGATTCTCCCACTCTATGCTCAGTTTGAGGAACTGACTGCAATTAATGTTTTTATCTGAAGAACAGAAGCAGTTAAGAATCTACAATGAAGCTTGCCAAGATCTTTGTAATACATATCAATAACCTAGAATTTTTTTTTCAGCAGTAAAAGGATTTGGATTCTTAAGCAGGCTCTACACTGAGCAAATGGGAGGCCCAGTCCGCTGGCTCCTGCCCATCATCTTTCCAATAAAAAAAAAAATAGAGGGCGCCAGGCAGAAAACTGAGGGCCAAACGGCTCTTGCATCCAGACAGATGATGGCACTGTTCAGGTGTTTTGGTAGCTGACCTGGCTGACTATCAAAATGCAATAGCTGCAGCGGGTGAATCTTCCACCACACACTGTTTAACCTAGAAGGAGGAATCTGTTAGATGTAGAACAGTGTATACGAAGCTCAACTGTGGCAGCTGAGTATTCATATCATCACCTCAGGTCATCTATCCAGTACTTGAAAATAAAACCCCTTTAGGAAGTGTTCTGATGTTGGGGTTTTTCCAGCGCAAGGAAAGTCAATTTGCCTTGTCACAGATAGGTGTTGGGCTGGTAAGCACTGAAAAAAACAAAAAGTACAGCATGCAGTAGCACAATTTTCCAGTGTATCGGGATGCGACGCGGTACAACCAACCTACACCATGCTATGCGTGTAGAACTTCATGTAATGTAACTTGTGACATTTCAATAAAGCTTTAAAAAAAAAATTGCAGCATCAGCTTTGTGCTTCTGTAAGGCCTGGTTCACACCTGGGCGTTTTACAGCGCGTTTCTACGCGCTGTAAAACGCTCAACATGTGAAAACCAATGATTGCCTATGGGCATGGTTCCCACCTGGGCGTTTTACGGCGTGTAGGAACGCGCTGCAAAATGCCCTGCGCCCAAAGAAGTACAGGAGCTTCTCAGGGGCGTATTTGCAGCGCGTATCCATTAGGATACAGCCAGATAGCCCTCGGAAACGCGCATTTGTTTTACCGCAAATCGCTGTAAAAACGCGCGGCACGAAACGCACGGCAAACGCGCATATTCCGTACGCCAAGGTGTGAACCCAGCCTAAATTGCAGAAAAAAAAGGAATAATGTCACCAGCACACCGGTTAAAATGGATCATTGATTAACAAAAACCGGTGTGCTGGTGACATTATTCCTTTTTTTTCTGTGATTTGCACGGTGCCTTCCGTGGTCACTACAAGCACCCACCCAGCTTGGGGTTATTTTGGTAAGGAGTGCAGCAAGACATCCTGTTTTTTGATCCCAGCCTAAATTGGTCTTTATGCATACCTGTACTCAAACGTTAACTGGAAGCTCAGGCTAAATGTGATGAATAAAAAAAATTAAAGGCCTAAATGCTTTGCCCAGGCTCTCTCTTGTGCCAGTCACGTGACAAAATGTTCAATGATCTGTGCTAAATGGCAAGGTCATCCAATAATAACTCTAAATCCTTCTTTCTGCAAAAGGTCATGTAATCAAATGTCTAAGCCATGGTCATGTTGCCACCAATAGAGGGAGCCTGGAGAAGCATTCTCCCCAGAAGATGTAAGTAAATCCTTCTATTATTCTTTATTTATCCAACCCAAAAAGATGGTTAACAAAGCATTTAGGTAACATTTCAGTGTAGGGCAGCTTTAATGAAAACAGACGTCTCAGACACATACATTTAGAACATTAGTGGGCGCGTGCGAGAGACAAATAGGGAGAGCAAGGTTTCACACCCCAATAACGTAAGTATAATACACCACGAATAATACATAGCAACGCTACATACTGTGTCATCACCTGTATCATGGATATTTCTGCAACAAGTCTCTCAATAGTGATAATACAATGTTTTTAATCTTTTGTGAATAATACATTTCTCTTCTTATATAAATTTTGTGAGAGTTCAAGTGTTTCTAAAAAGC